CAACCGCCACCCATCTGTCTGTTTTTCTCTCTTTTACTTTTCTCCCTGTTTCTCTCCTAATCCTGGTAAAATATCTCTCTCTCTTTCTCTCCTCGAGACCGTAGACAGGACGGAATCATGTCAGCGACCTCGCAAGGCCTCGCCAAGGTCGTCCGTTGAGCTCTCTCCGGATTGGCAGCAGAAGCTATTCAACCACCACCACAGTTCGTGGCAGCGCCACCACTATTCTCGATGCCACTCCGATCTGCCGACTTCGTGACTAATTTGCAGACGAATAAACCTCTCCCTCTATCTTTTCTTCTTCTTCGTGCCCACCTTTTCTCCCTGCTGCAGTCCTCTTCTTCTTCTGCCTTTGCTGCAGCCTCCGTTTTCAGACGGAATATAAAAGATGATTGCTACTGGCATGATTCTCAAGCGTCAGTAGCTGGACAAAAACCAGAGTCGATGTCTTCGTTAGTTTTGATAGAAACAGATGGCCCATGCGAACTTTCATCATATTTAGTTTCCACAATTAAATTCATTTTGCGCTTAGATAAATTCATACAACATAAACTCGGCTGGTTATAGGATCGTTATGTTAAAAACTAATGGTAAATTATACTCCGTAACGTGTAATGCAATACGCAATTGTACTTCAGTACATAGTCGATTATTCTATATGAAATTTAAGCTTGATGTTCAATCTTAGCTGACGTAAGTAATGAAATCTTGAAGACAGGCTTGAACGTGATGCAAGTAGAAAGAGTCGAAATTGGTCAGACAGGGACAACCCGGCCGGTTGATTCGCGTATACCTCGCAGAATGCTTTACACGTTCTCTAAAGCGGTTCGTGTAGCGGTAGTATGGTGGGCATGTTAACTCCCCTCTGTCTGAGGGTTATCGACACGCATGACCGCGGCCCACCGTTTTCTCGCGGAATTTATCAGCGGCTGCGATGCGCGCGGCCCGGCCGGCGCTGCGCTGGGATATCGTAATCGGATATCCAGCTAGCTGACTGGCGCCATTTTATTAAATCGTCCTCGCGAACCGCGCACCATTCTCCGGGCCCCGGATAAACCAGTTTACGATAACTTAACTCGCGTACACGAGCAGCGAGCATAACGACCGGACCGGCTCGCTAGCCCGCCTCTCTTCCTACGGATTTCCTTTTATTTTCCTCCTTCGTCCGTGGTCCGCGTGTGCGTCGCGTCTCTTGCCTCTTTCTCGGGACCGTTCGCGGGGAAAAACCCGCGCCAAGGACGCTTCACGTTATCTTCGGTGTGCACGAGGCTTTATAAACGTTTATACTCAAGAAGATAAACTGAAAAAGATTACCATTATTACATTAGGGTTCCTGTAGCAGTTTCGAGTGGTTCAAGTAATTTAGCCTCGATCATATCGAAAATTTAAAAATGATTCTCTTATTTCCATGAAATACGAGCTTCAACAACAATTTTTTTGCAATTAATATTTTGATAAAGGTAATTGAAGTTCTGACTTCGTCTGCTGTATCTGGCACTTTGTAACGAGGCACGCGATAATTCCATTGATTATGAGAAACTTCGGTCTCGCTGAGAGTAGGTATAAAGTCTACATGGCGCCAGGGTATGGCGTCCAGGGTGAGTTCGCCGTGGCGCCAGGAACCTCCCGGCGATCAGCTTCTTTGCGTGCCACCGGATTCAACCGTTCCCGCCGATTGATGCCTCTCGTTATATTCGTCGGCAGTCTAGAGATACTGGAATCATCAATTTCCTCGGTAATGGGAACTATATGTATGTTGGCTCGTAGCGCCCAGGCATTAGAGATTATATTCCGTCGAAGGATGATGATACGACGCTCGCCTGTGTTTCGTCTCACACGCGTGATACAATAGGAACGCTCGATGCGAGTATAAGGAATTATATTGCTTCTGATATCTTTATGAATGTCTGCTTAAATCGAGTAAAAATTAGGGAATGGAAGCATGTTTTATGAGGGAGACAAGAAACAAAATAATTGATAGCATACATTGCTTGGTCATTTGAACTCGATTACATCGTGTATATTCATATGTATGGTTCTAAGAGTTAGAAAATAAAAACACTTGCATTATGTGTCTTTTTGAAACAACAACGACGTAATAGAATGTAATTGGAGGGACATAATTTGATACAAAGTAATGAAAGCAACGCGTAAGTGGTACGAAGCGTGTATTTATGATGATACATGTAAGGTATAATTGCGGCGTGCGAAATTTATGCGTATTTACGAGAAGTACCATTCAGCCTCGGCTGTCCTTTCGCGGAAGATACGCCGACGTCCAATTATTCCCGGTAACGGGTTGAACGCCCATCATCGCAGTCATCTTTTTAGAGGAGAAGGTCTGCCGCGAGAGCCTCGCATGAGTGAAACGTGTCGCCCCTTCTCAAACCCTCAGTCGATCAATTTGTCTGTTGCAACATTGTAGGTATCCTACGGTACCAGGAGGGACGCGATAACTATCCGGACTTTTCACGCTGTCCTCCCCTTTGCGATCTTCACTTTTTCTCCCCCGTTTTTCGCTTACGTACATTGGACGTACGTCGTATCTCGTCACGTTTTTCAATTTATAATACATCAGATTTTTTATTGTGCTTGTCTGTCAGGGGATCATCCGTATTTGTCTATCAGTTGTCTCGTCAGAGTAACGTGTACTCGCAATTTGAACATTTTTTGGCCAATCACGAATTAAGGGAAGATTGTTCGAGCTGATCTTTGATAAAACATTATTGCCTGGAGCATTAATTCCGAAGAGGAAAATCGTACTTTCTACATCGTAGTTAACATTAGAATTACGTATTGATTATAATATCTATTAATCGAATCTCAGGCATCTTCCGAGCAACGTACGTGATTATTCAGAGACTCAGGCGTAAAATCGTAAAACGGTCAAGCTCGAACAGTCATTCCCCTTAATAACGATAATTATCATCGTAATGAGTATCCGTCCGCGGTAGCCGAGGGTGCCTCTTTTTCTAAGGCGAACTGCGTTCACGCGACGGGCGGCTGTGTTCGCATTCGCGGTATCTCTCCCGATGGGACGAGCGTCAAATCGTAAATCCAGTAAATTGGTCGCGAGTCGCGATTTAAAGGGTTGTTCACACTTACATACGTGTAAAACCAAGGAGTGTCTAGAGAGTTTCGTCACGGCTTTCGTTCAATTTTCACGCACGAATGCCTCTTTTTGATTTCTCCGTTCTTGCCCGTTTCATGACCGGAAGATTTGATCTAGTTTCGTTACTAAATAACAAAGTAATACGTGGCTTTTGTCCTCTGTATAAGAGAACGTTGTCTCTTTTCAATTAAAAGAGAACTTGTATATTCTTTACTTATTACTTCAGATATTTATAATTGCAAGAAGAAACGATCTGTCTTTATTAAAGTATTTTTATTCGAGCTCCTATTCTCGGTCCATTAGTGGCTTCATTAATTTGACAATAGAGCACTTCATTCTTGGCGACGGGGAATTAAACTTGTGAAAATTCGTTATTGCTCTCGCGGAAAACGTGGCTAGGAAATACGGCGCGGTGCAGCAGCGATTCGGTCGGTCCAGTCTGGATCGATGCTAATGGAATTAACCGAGCAGCTGGGCTAACTCGATTCCCGTCCGTTTTCGCGAGGTAATCACGTTAATATCGGCGCACTGGGAATAGAGGCAGGTTGACCTCGACAGACTCCGTTGAAACGGGGCACGCGTTTTCTGCGAGACGCGTCGCTGTCGCTCAGAGTTCATTAGGAAAGAACGCAGACGCCTTCCGTGGCCCCCTTGTTCGCGCATCAAATCGAATTAACGTCCGCCGTTCTGCAAACTGTTGCAGCTTCTAGTTGTGATACTCGGACGAGTTTGGTAATTCGACTGATGTTACACTCGGTGGAAAATTGTCGGGCGGCAATCGAGGCTCTCGTAACGGCTAATTGCTCGGAACGAGGGAACCACTTATATGGTTCCTTTTGTAACGGAAATATACGTTTCGTATTTTGAATAATCTTTTCATAAAGGAAATTGTATTTTACTTTGTCATCACATTTTGCATTGTATCAGAGATTTAATTGAAATATTAGCGTAGACACAGAATATCCAATTTTTTTTTTTGCATAATTTCGTTCGTCTTTAATTATTACTTCTCAACTCGTTGCCGAGAAGGCAATGTTAGCCAGGTAATTAATATCGCAGGAAACCTCCTTTAAACGATAACGACTGATAACAAAAACTATTATCTATCTTGTATCGTGTAAACGATATTCGAACACATGCGGGGAGATTAAACGGATGAGGAAATCGAAGAGGAATTAGACAGTACGATACGCGTAATTTTCGCTAATGATCGTATTGGCAATTAGTTAAGCCTTTTCTATAAATCTTCTCTAACTAATTACCCTTTACACTCCCAACCCTGGAAGAAGACCACACGGGCCGTGGTCCGGGCCGTAGCTCGCAGTTAAACGCTAATTATTATCCTCGCCTGCGATAAATTAAACTGCCAGACGTTAGGGGTACCGTTGGGAGAGGTGCCTCTCGCGTAATAAACCCTACGCTGCACCGCCGTGAGCCGCGTTATGGTAGGGAACACACGTATTCGCCCGGGTGTCCTTAGTAAATTGAATTTACGCTAACTCGACCCTGCTCGCCACGGGATACCGAGTACTCTTACACTTATGTCTCTATCGGGAGCAAACCGACAGCGGGTCGTATCAAATTTCATGCGAATCTTGGAGTTTCGAGCGTTTTCTAGCTTCATCAATTCTCTCATTCTGTATTACAGACATATATGTATTATCCACTTAATTTAACAGCTGATTATGATCATATACTTGCTTGGTTTTATTGCATTCGATTGAACGAAGGAACTCTAGCCATTTTTAATCATTGATCACGCATTTTCCAATTAAATCGAAGATCAAATTCTTCGCTTAAACGGAACTGTCGCCATTAGCGTAGAACCTTTTAAATCGGTTTAACGGTGATGTTGCTAACGGTCTAATCCTTCGGTTCGTTGTTTCAGATTCCCAAATGGAGCAGGGGTACCGGTCCGAGGTCCAAGAAAGGGCACTGGTTGTATCCTTGCAGATGTTCAATTTGATTTTAGAACGTGGCGTGTCCTTGCTCAAGTCTCAGTTGGACAGCGGCGAGGAGCCGAGAATGGTTGTTAGCGAGGACATGCAAGTCCTTTTACCAGCTATCAAGGTATTTCCGTTATCTCTGGCATATCTAATGAATCCCTATCAAGATCTCCTTTTTCCGAGAAACTTTCACCGTACCGGGAAAACTTCGAGTCATTCTAATTGTACAGATTTTAATCACCGTCGAGGATCTTGGAAAAAGAACTCGGAAAAAGGAGAAATACGCGTAGACGGACACCTGTGTCTATACGGTTTTAACGCTGGTTTCGGAATCTTTTTACCGCGTTTCATTGCGGCTGGTCTATGAAATATATGCACGCGGTCGTTCTTTCGCCTTTTATCTCCTATATCAATTATCGATCGATCGATCAATCTGAGAAAAAGACTTGAGAAAATCAGTAACTGTCGAGGATGATGAACAATCGGCGTTGTGAGTCAACGGGTTCGATTGTCTTTTCAAGATTCTTTAGTGGAAATAACATGGACGGTTACTCAGCAGACTGTCAGTGGCGACGCTATAAATTAATCATTGATTAATTATTTTAATACGATGAATAATATAACGAATACCGAGTTCTCTTAAGTTTTCTTTCTACGTACATTCACCGTCATGAGGCTCAATTCAATCAATTAAATAATAATACATGTATCCGTAAAAAAATTTAATAAAAAGATTTCTATACACAATTGTACAAAGGTCAACTACAACGGGTACTTTGACAGCGTAACAACAAATTTAATTCCTTCTGCAGCAACCTCAAAGCGACTCTGCAACGCTATAAATCATCCCCGACGTGCAACCACTAGCAGCGTAATTCATTACCGTTAAAATTTTTAATTGTCACACGAAACCAGCTCCGCCGCGCGTACCTCGAACCGCGGCTACCTATAAGTACCCGGGTACGAATTTTTCGTTGAACTCGTTTCGATCGTTGCCCGTCGACGTTCATGTCATCGCCGCATAATCCGTGAAGGCTCGCACTTAAGCGGCGGAAAATTTATGAAGCGAGCGAGCGTTCGCACCCACGCGTAGCGTCCGTCGCGCCGGTGGCCGTTGTCAGCTCGGGACCTGGTTCGTTCCCTCGTGTCCCGACTTATTATGCGAGCCCGTGTTCGCGATTAATGCACCTATCGCACGTAAACTATGCACGCACGCTCCATCGATAAAGGTCAACTCGTATGACAAGCCCCATTCGAACCGCGCGCTGCGTCACAGGATTCTCTTCCTGGTTCTCGAGGTGGTGCAGCCTTCAAGGATGCGATACCATCGCCGCGGGGATCCTGCGACGACGATGCTCGAATCGCGAGTGTAGCATATTTTTCAGATGCTTTCGTTTCAAATTGTTCGCGTGGTTCAACGCACACCAGCGTGTATCAACCTAATTAATTGCCTCGTTACGCGATCCTGATGAAACTTTGAGCATACATTAAATAGCTTTTTCTTATTAAATTAAGTGAAATACGTACGTGACGCGTAGGAATGTCGAGCTTAGTGTAATTAATAGACTGTAGATTTTGTGCATTTATAAAAGAATTAAATATGCAGAATATATAAACGATATGCAGAATAAGAAAGGAAGAAGAGCAAAGGCTGAGCTCGTATAGCAATACTTAAATGATATACGAAATTGTTGTACGAAGTACAATTTTTTAAACTCAAGTATTTTAGCCTGCATAAAAATGTGTAGTCTAGTAATTAAAAATGAACGTTCGTCCGAAGAATTCCGATCGCTATCGAAATATACGAATAATGGCAAGAGTTTCGCTCTTGTTCAACGTTGGACCATTAATATTACTGATAAAGAGGACGCGATACTAGATTGCTAACATAGGATTCACTTTCTGGAGGATGAATGGACGTGACGGACAAAATATAATGTCGCTTAGACGTTCTATAAATAGAAACAATTCTACTCATTCCTTCTAGACGGTTGTCCATTAAGCTCTGATCCTTTTTTCGTTCCAGATCTGGTGCGATTGGATGCTTTGCCACAGCACTGTCTGGAATCCACCCCCATCCTGCACGGACTACAGAGTCGGGTGAGTTCTCTAATGAATCTTATACTTCATTCTATCGTATTTTGTTATTCTTTCACGTCGGGGATCTACCTGCGACATTTCATTTCATTTCATTTATATTAACTTCTGTAGTGAGAGATCAGATAGTTGACTAATAACATTTTTATTCAATGCTTATAGAACATTTCTTTCTGAATGTAAAGAAAAAGATAATCCAGAATTTCAGCCTTGCGAGGAACTAATTGTTTGAGCGATAAATTTAAACGCTCAAGGACTTGTGTATTAGGATTAGCCGGTTGCAGAAAGAACCTGCGAATTATTTCGAACTCTGTGATCCTGCGGTTTGCGGTTTCGCGGTCACTGTGTCCTGGCTCTCTTCTGGAAACGGAGAAGAGAAAGAGAGTGCTGTCGGTAACCCTGCACGTTGCATACGCTTGCCAGCAGATTACGCCACGGCCACAAATTATTCATCACGAACGGCGTCTTTTTCTCTAGTTAATTAGTCTGACAAATTTCCTCAGGGAATGGAAAAATCAATTTCGTCCAATCATGGTTCAAACAATACTAAGATAAATCTTGAGAACTCGATGATGTTTTGCTTTTAACAAACGTACTACAGGTTTTATATTGATAATTTTGTTTCGCGAGATTTTCGTTTATTCATTGATTTAGCTACAAAATGGCTCAGCAGAGGCGACCTTCTACACCGCTTTTGTCAAACGGATTAATCTCCTAAGCTTTCGAGGCATCGGAGGAAAGGGAAGATATGTATATTCGTGACCGTGGCGCGCGACTATTAATTCAGGTTGACACTTCAGGTGTTTTGAATTATGACCGTTGTGTCGGACTATTAATTCTCCGCGCGAGACATCAATTTCTCGGGCCGTGAAAGTTCGGGATACTAGAGACATCACGCGCAACGAGGAACACCTTCGCGACGTGTGCCTCGTGATTTATCGCGAGCAAACCCCGCGCGAAATGTCGCTGAAAACCGCTTAATTGTTCTCAACGGGTTGATCCTCGCACGGGTCTCTTGTTAAATGCGTTCAAGTTAATTGATTATGATAATTCGGTGAAGAACAAGACCAATTATATTTCAGTAATCGAGGGAACTATTAGGAATTGCTTTTTCAAAGCACAAAAATTTTTACTTATTCAATTTTCAGTCAGTTAGGCATGAAACGATTTAGGGAGTATAAGAACTTTTAAAAATTCTCTTTGTATCCGTAATCGATTATATGCATTGTCGAAAGAGGAGAGGAGCATCGTCTTAATCGGTCATCGAAGTCTCCGGCCGGTGTACCTGTTCCGTTCTCGAAACGTTCAGCGTGGGAGTGACTCATCAAAATAAAAGCACGTCGGTTGCGACCGGCAATGCAAAACACGGCCAGATTCGAGGAAAGGCTTGATCAACGTATAATTATCTTCTTACATACTCCCCCCCATGATTGACAAAGGAGCCACGGAATCGCCAGCAAGGATCGACTCGCGTCGTCGTTAGCGACCTGTTCCGTTCGAGAATGCAGAAGGGAGATGCCACGTAGATCGATAATGCGATTAAATTCAGAAAATTCCTGGCAAGAATGGAGAAATTGTAATGATTTGAAAAATATTTGCATTCCTGTTGTCCAACTTCTTTCGTGATAGCAAACAGAAATAATTTATTCATGTAATTCAAAGTGCATCAGCTAATAGAATGTATTCAGCAGTCAGGACCACGAAGCGTGATCAGTTTAAAGACCAATTATAATCCGAATTGATCCTCGGAGAATAGAAGGATCCGAGAGATGGTTTCGAGGCATGCAGAGGGGGTCTTTTCGCAGATGATTCGAGCGCGATCGGAGACAAGGGTTTTTATTCGGTATCGAGCGAGGGGACCGAGGGAATGTATCGATCCTCAGGATCTTTCTAACGAGACGAGAGAAAAAAGAGCGGTCGAAAAGAGAGAAAACGGTCGTGGTTGCCCGACTGATGCGATCTATCGTCCATTAAACGAGTTTCAAGGCCCCTTTGGTCCCGTAACTGCGCGAACGCTCGCGATCCAAGTCACCTCTTTGCGCAACCAACCAACCAACCAACCAACCAACCAACCAACCAGCTATCCACTACAACACGCTATACCCGACTGGATAAGTTAATTATTGTTGCTCGTTAACGATTAACAATTATGCGAGCGAAGCGTTTCCTTGGCAAGGACGCGGATCGTCTTCTTTTACTCTCCCACCGGATAACCGTGGCGTAGATTCGCTCGCTCTACGTCGTTATTTATAGAACGGGGATCGCAATTAATCTGCCGTCGAATCGCGACTTGGTCGATCCCCTCGCCGTTCTTTTCCCTCCTTTTCTCCACATTTTTCCCCCTTCTTCTCTTAATCTTCTTCTTTTCACCTCCATTCAGCGAGGATAGCAACTTTTGATCTTTGCAGCGCGCGTGCCTGAGACCCTGTATGTAATTGCGAGATCAATCACTGTCGTCGTTCTTTCTTTTTCGCCCTATATGTTCTCTACTATATGTCCGCTTCACAATGCTTATTATTTTACAACATTGATCTAGTTTGATATTCAAGTAGGATACAATATGTGATTGTCACCTAATAGCTCTGATTAACACGATATTATACAGTTACACGATCATACAATTGTCTCTTATAGTGCAAAATGAAACGTCGTTTCCTAACAGAAATTACTTCACATTGATATGTGTAATATTTCTTTTTCAACGATACGTGACGCAAAATGTAAACATCGTTTTTGATACACGTTCCATAATTCACTACGTGACTTATTGTTACAGTAGCTAGTTTTTCGATAATCTTCCGTCGAGGCGATGCGACCTTCGGGCATCCACGTAATTCAGTTCGCATCCTACCTGGCTGATAGGAGGATACGTGCGCGTCGTAACTCGATTAATTAATACGATATCTTGCGTTTAAAGCAAGAAGTGGTAAGTCCGCGTAATAAAATCGCGGATGCGCGTTTCGGTTATCCAATTACGTTTAATTAACTGCGTCGGCCTCGCGGAATAAGGACCGTTGCGTCATCGTCAGCACGACGTGTCTCGGAAAAGATCCTTTCATCATTCAATATCATATCAATCTATTCATCTGGGTAATTATGAAATTTTATTATACTTTTTTGTATCTTTTGGTATCCTTGCTAATTAGGTATCTTCTTCTGATAACACAAATACATATGTGTTGATATTCTTGTAAAGTACATGCATTGTATAAATGTATCGAATCTAATTATTACTTTTCATTTCGTTTATATTCTTAGAGTGCACGACTCAAGTGTCTTGCAATGAAACGTTAACTCTTTCAGTCTGATTATCTGATCTAATCAAGCCCCCGCGTGATTCAAGTGATATTTTTGACGTAGGCGCGTTAACTTTCAATAAAACCCCCGCAGAAGTCGATGATAATTTAGCGATAAAGAGGTTTGCCGATCGTACGACGAAACGGAAACGTGCGGGATGAGAGGGAAAGAGAATGAGGGAGCGAGAGAGGGAGACAGAGCGCAATTAACAAATGACCTTTCATAACGGCAATCGATTAATCCCCGGCACCGCGAGGCCTGCTCGTCGCGTCGTGCGCGTTTTCTTTTCTATCCGCATCTTGTTCGTTTGCCCATCTCTCTCAGTTCGTCTCTCCTTTCCTCCTCTTCTGTACTTACTTACTGGCTCTGCACGCTTCTTTATCGCCGCCTCCGGGGGCTGTGCACGATACCATCGAATGATCGATAGCTTGGAAAATGATCCCCCGCGCGCTGCCATTCATCGCGGTGAAAATAATTAAACGGACGACTTTGGATTTACAGTAACACGGAAGTAAGCTGGCTGTACCTAAGTACGATGCCGCGATGCGATGCGATGCGATGCGATGCGATGGCTTACGCGCGTGCACGACCGCTTACCGACACCTCGTATATTTAACGATGTCACCGATACGCCGTTCAATGAACGGGAGAGGCGTGAAACTATGATCTCCTATTAATTTTGATGAGATCGAACGGACTACGACTCGTTTATTTTCGCATCTAGATAGGCTCGAGTCGTCCCACTGTTCTTCGTTTTTCTCTTTCGTGTGGGACGGGTTTCGAATTGATCAGAATGAGGGACGTGACATTTTTCGATTTTCTCGCTTAATGAAATCTAGTCAGAAAACTTCAAATAATCTGAGAAGCACGTCTTATAAAGGATTGTGCTTTTTAACAAACTAGCTTATCAGATTTTTTATTTGGCTTCAAAATTTTAATTGTTTTCCATCAGAGGTCAAGAAGTTCATTTGTACTAAATTACTGTTAGAATATTTATTGCGAGGGATGAATCGCTATCCGTGGTTGGATCCTGTTCCGGTTTCTAGTTACGTGATTTCAACCGATAACTGGATACGCATTTAACGATGGAACTTTGACTCATCTCAGATTTACGTGCTGAACGAAGACGATTTTGGTTTGGTTACAGACCGGTTGGTGATGCCTGGAGCCGACTGGCAACGATGGTGAATCTCCTGGAAAAATTGAATTACCCCAGAACGATCCTGATACAGGCCAAGGACGCGGAGGGTCGCGAAGATGGTGAGTTAATTCATAAATTGATATATTAGCCAGATATTAGTAGTCGTGAAACAGGACTTTGTTATCGCCTTAAATCTGGGGACAAAACTTATTTTCCTGAAAAATTTTTCTCTACACTTATTTCATGTTCTTACGATTATTAAAATTTAATGTGAATTGTTGGGTCAGGTAGCAAAAGTAAAGCATTTTCCTTAAGTATTTATTATTTTACCATTCTGGTAAAGATAGAGTTGGAACGGCATTTTATCTATTAGCGTATAGTATGCTTCGCACAAATATCAATAAACTATATGGGATTAAAATATTGTATGTACGAGTGCAATTTGTGGAGATTAATTTCAATTGACCGCTCCCAGAAGTAATGGAACAGGAAATTAACAGTTTCGTTTATAGGTACAGAACACACTAATAGACGACTACTTAATTACACTTCATTTCCTTGACATCAAACGCATTTCCTATACAATAATGCAATGTAGCCGGGTAAATCGGTAATCATTAACACACGTTCGATCCCATCGTCCATCAAAATAGACGAAGAAGCATTCAAGATAGAAATCATACACACGGTCGAGATGAAGTTACACGTACTGTACTCGATTCGACCACAGTTATACAAATACTTCTGCTCTCGGTCAATATTTATGTAGAAACAACTACATTCTTTTCTTTACGTTACCCGTTATGCGATCAGCCAATGGTAATTGCTGTTTGATTTATATTTAACTGTACAGGAGATAAATAAGGTATCTTATAATTTGGAGTCAGAATATTCTACAAATACCTTTGTAAAACTATCTGATGTTACAGTCATTTCATTTTACAAAACAATAATCGTTTTACGTATTTTAAATACGTAATGATGTTCATAATTTCACGTCGCCTCATCAAACAGAGTTTAGCTTTTAATTTGTTTTATTTTACGATCTCAGGCGAGTTTCGATTGACAATTTGGCAGTCTAAATTCGTTTTACAAGAATCTGTGCACGCAACACGTATAATATGTATAATGGTCGATGGTTCGAACGGCCAAAGGGGACTGTGTTCTTATTTCAAATCCACGTTTTAATGGAACGTTACGAGCCCGTGGGCTTTACTGTAACCACGTAATGATACGTCGCGGCACGCCATTATAAATGTGGGCACACGGGCAACGCGAACGAACGGAGGATAGTAACCGTATTATAATTGCACGGCTAATGGCCGTAGGAATGCAATCAGAGATTCAGGAACTCCGCCAGCTTTTTACCAACGGATTTTACTGTGTATCGCCGGCGTGCACGTACCTAGTAATGTCACGGCAATAATTCGCCGGCTAATAGTTATCGCGCGGATGCGTGCCGTTTCTTCTCATTGCGCCGCGAACTAATATTCGAAAAGTGGTTTTCCTCAAGTGTCTCTTTCATGAAGTATGGTTGCAGTAACAATAGTAAAGAAGTTTCATATGAGAAATCGCGTTTCGATGAGTTTAGCACGAAGTACCTTCTCCTTTTTTTTAATTTAAATATAGGACGAGGTATTTAGTATTCAATACTAGGTTAAAAAGTAAGCATGAAGTTCACAATTTGTCAGAAAGAAATTTACAATTATTAGTCATTTCTGTACTCGTGCATGATTTAACTAAAATGAATCAGACATGAATTATTCTTTCGTACATAAACACATGGTTCCATAAAGTAAATTTGTGAAACTGTTTCTCTAAGCATTGTTTTTCTGGAATTTTTCAATTCATTGATTTTACAAATCTCTTATCTTGCCATCATCCGATTTCTGAAACGTCGATTACGCGTTTCGCGGGCAAAGCTTTGTGTTCACGATTCTTCAGGTGGATTCCTCGCGATGGCACTCGAGTCCTCCGCTCGCTGGACCAGTCGTTTGAAATCGAAAAACCTAAGTTCCTCGAACGGTGAAGCGCTTCTGGCCGTGTGTTGACCCGCAGCTAGCCGCCGGTTACGTAACGGTGAATCCGTTCGATGTGACCACCGCCAGTGCCATATACACTATCCGAGAAGACCGTTTTACAAGTCCCCGATGCGATGCTGTTCAAACACGGTGCCACGCCAAGCTACTGTCTTCTCAGTTTTCAGTCTTCCTTTTTCTATGTCAGTTTTATTTCATTTCTTTACCGATTGGGGAAAAGGGTTGACTTCGTGTAAAAAAAGAACAATCTATGAGACAGTTGCAATCTATATCAGGCATTCCTGATTCTGTATCTATTTATAATATAATTTCTATTATTCACACTGCTTATATATTACCAGGTTTTATGTGGATCTATGAAATTATGTGTATACTTACTTGTATGTCTATATCTGTAAGGATATTTAGGTTGTGTCGCGGGTTAATGAAACAGAAGTGTTAATGCGTCAGGCGTACATCACATATTTGGTATACGGGATGATTTATGAGCGCATCGGTAATACTTCACGAGTTACACGGTAGTGCACACGAGATCGCGTAGATCGACGATAGAGAATTAAGGATTGGGTTAATTGATTCCTTAACATGAATTCCGCAGACTCGTTTTTTAACTTCGTTGCGCGGGTTACAAGGATTGATGAGGTAATGGAGCGTAGGAAAAACTGTGTAATGAATTTCGGACGGGTGAATTAATTTTCAGGTGATTCTGTTAACCTTCTTTGGCTGAGAACCCGTTCTGACAATGAGTATGATTTATTATACACTCGAGTACAATTGTCCTAGATACATCAAACAAATAATTATTATCCCTTTGTTACAAAACATGTTCAGACAAGAAATGTAACGTCATTTTCTTATACATTTTCGCATTAGTTTTTTTTCTAATCTTTTTTTAATTATTCAGGATTGTATTATACCATTAGTTTCTTTGAAAAAATGAACAGAAGGACCGCTAACAATTTCTTCTAAGCAGGAATTTGTAACCTATGGCTGACGTCCGGGGTAATTAGGGTTGACTGTAGACATTGACACGCAAGTAATTATTGTAATATTATGACGTTGATGAGTCTGCCAGTTGAACTAGTAATTATCGTTATCGATTGGGACGATATTCGCGTAATTTGGTTCTTCCCCCGTGTCATGAAAATCACTAATTATTTATGAGATCACAGGGTGCATTTGTCACTGTTAATCGGATAGGTGTGACTTCGCTTTAATACGTATTTCCGAAATGGGATTAAAATAATCGACCCCCTTGAGTAACGTTAAACTCACTTTTTATCGGTAGGTCTCGCGTATAACATTAAACCTGTCTGACCATAATCCTCCTAATCTACTTACTCGCTTGCGTTACGCACGTCGCACAGACGTTTATATTCCGTATCCTCCGCAGACAGGAGAGTATATTTTCTTGATTATATTCACTCGCTCGATTTCTTCTGTACCATGTCGAATTGCTAGATGAGTTGCTCATTAATACCAGCCGACGTTAGCGAAGTTCGTTCAACCCTGATTAACCTTGCATTATCTTATTACGTGACTCGCAATTACCATTATTATCGAACCCGACCTGAGAAACTCTGTAATTGGACATGCGAACGCGTGCATTGAATTTCACTCGGAACGGTTTGCGCGTCCAACGCGAATTATTCCTTTCACTTAATGGAAACTTAAACAATTACCTTCATTTTCCTATATCAACGTTATTACTTCACGTCCTATTCGTAAAAAATCGAACGAGGAAACGAATGCATTTTATTGTATAACTTTTTCACTATTTAAGTAGACTGCAGATTAATAAAAAATGTATTTCATGTAGATACTTCTTTTACCATGCATTCACTTTTAAGCTGCGTTTCTACTTTCTGTACAATTCAATTTTCTTACGAATGCATAAAATCCATTGTCGATCGATCACGTTTTCAAGACACGGTGTCGCGAATTTTTCGTTCGCGAGGTTGTTCACGTAGTAGAATCGAGACCCCTGGCTAGAACTGGGTCTACCCTAACGGACCCGGATGGCTAGGCTGGGAAAGAGCGTTCTAGTTTCGAGTCGCGTCCTTGGTCGTGTTACACTTACTTTTGAGACAGGTTTACACGCGATAACAGTACATAATTCATAGATCGTATCGTGAAACGTATCGACGGTACAACGGTTGGACTGTTGTTAATTCATTAAATCACGGCCGTTCTCCTTTTCGGCGAACGAAAAGATATTTCCCACAACGTTCTGTTAGGCAGGAAGTGGATTGCTATTTTATGTTTCGATATACCGACAATGATGCGCTTCAAATAGACGAGATAAATAATATCTCAAATGACTAGTGTTTCACATTGTTTTAATAAAT